CACCCTGTTTTACACGAAGGCTGGACCCGAACCACTGAAATGTCGACCATTTCTGGCCGGCAACTTTCAGCGTCATAGCTTTGACTATGCAGATCTTTGTCAGCAAGGTGACGTCTCTGCTTTTTAATCTGCTGCAACTGTCACAAATATATGCGAGTTGGCAAGTGCCTGAATTTTGATCACATGATTTTGGGAATGCTGTGACAGTTGTAAGTGCGAGGACCGGTCATGTGTCATTTTTTTCAGTGCCATCATAACTTCGAATGGTAGCTAAATGAATTGTCGTAAGTTGAGGACTATCTGTAAAAACTTCCCAGTCTGATCTAATGAAAGCAATTCCTACTCTCTAAGTTAGAAACTAATGGATTGGTTCTATTCAGAGTGTAAGTGAAATTTCATGCTCAGGATTTTCACAAAAAGCATTCTGATTTGGATGAGGACCAGAGCAGTCTTCTGGGGATTCCCTCTTCTTTATTTGCCTTTTACTCTTTGCTATGCGCCTCCAACACCACTAGCTATCCCTATATGTTTTTATTGATTTTTACACAAAAATTGTTGACTTCTTGTGTGTTTTAGAAATATATAGGTTACATATTTTGCTTACAGTTAAGATTCAGAAGACTGTTTTGATCAAGAAAATTTTATTACAGGCATCAAGACTGCTTTTGTGAGAAAACATAGCGATACAGCATTTATAGCTGCTCACTGTGAAATGATTCCAATTGAATGGGTTTGTAGAAGAATTGCCACTGGTTCTTTCCTGAAGAGAAATCCTGGTGTTGAAGAAGGCTATAAATTTTATCCACCTAAAATTGAGATGTTTTATAAGGTAGGTAGTACAAACATGATGGGGCTGTAATGGAGATGTTTTATATCATTTAACATTTACCACATTTTTTGAAAGCTTGAAGCTTAAGTTAATTTTGTGCTTAAGTTAAACTTCCTAATCTAAGCCTTCCAAAAATAATTCCCCCCCTCGCCCGAAATACTAACACTTGGCGAGTGAGTATTACTCACTAATAATATCAATACTAATATTACTGACTAATAATATTAATACTAATATTACTCACTAGTGAGTATTACTGGTGATAGAATTTTGCAATAGGCATGCGATCCTTAAAATGAGTCTTGATTCTTACGCACAGTTGGGTAAGAAAACATATTTTTAGTTGTTAAAAGAAACACATGTTCATGCCCATGATTGTTAATAATAGGTATCATGTCAATTAGGAAACGATGTGTTTGAATAATAACTTCAAAAATATCTTGTTTCTTTTCAGTGAAAACTAGAATAGGCAACTTATATTTCTCAATCTGGGTGCATTCCCTGTCTAGACCTCTGGCAAGAATGATCTCCTTCCAGTCTGGCAGCCTGCAGTGGGAAGCATCTGTCAGGGGAGGCAACAAGGGAGAAAATAGCATCACACATCATTATGTCATTGTGCAAATAATTCAAATTACATCATGACATCATTGCGACTTTACTGGATACATACAGGAAAGAAGGAAAAATGCTGTCAGAGTATCAGAAGGGCCCATCCCAAAACAAGATATAGCAGTGATGGCGAACCTATGACATGCATGTCAAAGGTGACATGCCATGATGTTTTGGGTGGCACACCAGCGTTCACCAACACCTGACAACAACTATTCTGCCTGTTTGAGTTACCAAAGAAACTTGAGTTTGTTTTACTCATATTTCATTTTTGTAATTATTTGACATTTCTTTATATAATACAT